GAGGATCAAAGTTTTACATAGAAATATATAGGAAAAATCTTTAAAAATCTTCTTCTCAAGAACAGCAACGCCATGGTGAATCATATTTATATGGAAGCATCCTCAGGAAGTGTAGATTCAACTTTGTTCAAACCATGACCCCTGGGGGAAGGGTGGGGCCACAATGGAGGATCAAAGTTTTACATAGAAATATATAGGAAAAATCTTTAAAAATCTTCTTCTCAAGAACAGCAATGCCATGATGAGTCATATTTATATGGAAGCATCCTCAGGTAGTGTAGATTCAAGTTTGTTCAAATCATGACCCCCGGGGGCAGGGCGGGGCCACAATGGAGGATCAAAGTTTTACATAGTAATATAAAGGAAAATTTTTTAAAAATCTTCTTCTCAAGAACAGCAAAGCCATGATTAGTCATATGTATATGGAAGCATCCTCAGGTAGTGTAGATTCAAGTTTGTTCAAACCATGACCCCCGGGGGTAGGGTGGGGGCCGCAATGGACTCTCAAAGTTTTACATAGAAATATATAGGAAAAATCTTCTCATCAGGAAAAGCAAAGCCCAGATTGGTCATATTTATAAGGAAGCATCCTCAGGTAGTGTAGATTCAAATTTATTCAAATCATGACCCCTGGGGGTAGGGCGGGGCCACAATGGAGAATCAAAGTTGTACATAGAAATGTATAGGAAAAATCTTTAAAAATCTTCTTCTCAAGAACAGCAATGCCATGATGAGTCATATTTATATGGAAGCATCCTCAGGTAGTGTAGATTCAATTTTGTTCAAATCATGACCCCCGGGGGCAGGGCGGGGCCACAATGGAGGATCAAAGTTTTACATAGTAATATAAAGGAAAATTTTTTAAAAATCTTCTCAAGAACAGCAAAGCCATGATTAGTCATATGTATATGGAAGCATCCTCAGGTAGTGTAGATTCAAGTTTGTTCAAACCATGACCCCCGGGGGTAGGGTGGGGGCTGCAATGGACTCTCAAAGTTTTACATTGAAATATATAGGAAAAATCTCATCAGGAAAAGCAAAGCCCAGATTGGTCATATTTATAAGGAAGCATCCTCAGGTAGTGTAGATTCAAATTTATTCAAATCATGACCCCTGGGGGTAGGGCGGGGCCACAATGGAGAATCAAAGTTGTACATAGAAATGTATAGGAAAAATTTTCAAAATCTTCTTCTCAGGAACAGCAAAGCCCTGATTGATCATATTTATGTGGAAGCATCCTCAGGTAGTGTAGATTCTATTTTGTTCAAATCATGACCCCCGTGGGTTTGGCGGGGCCACAATGGAGGATCAAAGTCTTAAATAGAAATATATAGGAAAATATCTTCTTCTGAAGAACTGCAAACCATGATTAGTCATTTTGATATGGAACCATTCTCAGGTAGTGTAGATTCAATTTTGTTCAAATGATGACCCCTGGGATAGGGAGGAGCCACAATCACAATTGAGGATCAAATTTTTACAAATGAATATATGGGAAATTTTTTTAAAAAATCTTCTCAAGTACAACAAAGCCATTTGTTATATTCACATGGAAGCATCATCAGGTAGTTTAAAATTCAAGCCCCCCTCCCCCCCCCCCCCCCCCCTTTTCAATACTGAACTGATTTGTGCTTTTGCCTAGCCAATGTGCTCAGGTGAGCGATGTGGCCCATGGGCCTCTTGTTATCTTTTGGCCTGGATTTTGACTTGCATTTGAAGAAACTTTAACCTTCGCTATGGAACGCCAGAGCTGCCTGAAGGTCACTTTTATATTATATGAGGTGGTATAACCTTTATATGTAGTGGTGAAGTCATTATATATAGTGGTAAAATTATTATATCCAGTCATAACTTTATTTTATGCAGTGGTTTTATCATTATATACAGTGACAACGTCATTATATGTAGTGGTTAAATAATGTAATGAAGTGATAATATCGTTACATTATGCTGTAAAATCATTATATGCAGTGGTTATTTCATTATATACATTAATGAAATCTTTCTATGATGTGATAAGTTCAATATATATACAGTTATAAACATAGTTTGTGTGAAACACAATGCATGTGCAGTACCAAGTTCATTTCATTCAGTGCTACACCTTTACATGAAGTGAAAATTTTATTATGTGCACTACTAACATCATTATATTATAAAGTAAAATTATAATATATATATATTAAACCATGCTATGCAGTGGTAACATCTTTATATGAGTTGGTTAATAATTATATGTCGTTGTTAATTCGTTATATGAAGTGGTCAATTCTTTATATGTTTTAGTCGTTTCATGTTTTGCACTGATAACTTCTTTATCATCATCTAAACTCGTCCTCTTAAACAGTAAAAACGCGCGGAGATCCATTTTAAAGCGGGTGTTGCTAAAACGCAAATTGGAAAACGGACGGAAAGCGGAATGGAACGGAAAATATTATGTCAAATTATTTACTACACGCATTTATAAATCAGACAGTAACCAGTATTCTTTATCAAACTGTTCATATCCTATTAAAAAATAACATAACAATGTAATTTATTCATGATCCCCTCCCCCCCCCCCCCCCCCCCCCCCCAAGAACTACATTTAATGTATGCATGCGGTGGTCAATCAATTACATACTAATTAGACACATAACTCAAGTATCTATCTTGATGCCTCACTCATCACTCGTGTAAATCTTATTTTTAAAGCTTATTCACCAAAGATAAAACTCTCTTTTTTTGATCATTTATTATGAAACAGGCAATGATGTTTTAAAACAGGTGGAGGGGGTTGGGGAAGCGAATAATTATGTACACATTTGTGTTCTAGACAACGATCACTGGCATTACAACTACAGGCATGTGCGGATCTAGAGGGGGTTCGAGATAGGGTTTGGACCCCCTGAAATTTGTGGAGTTATTATGTGTACATAGTTTTTGATTGTTTGTTGTTTAACGTCCCTTTCGAGATTTTTCACTCATATGGAAACGCCACCACCTTCCGGTGGAGGGCTGCAAATTTAGACCTACTACAGTGTATGCTCGGCACTCCGTGCCATTGAGCAGTGAGGGATCTTTTTCGTGCCAGCACCTACTGCGACACGGAACCTCAGTTTATACAGTTTCATCCGAAGGACCGGTTTCCACGTCCCATAGTGGGGTTCGAACCCGCGAAGTACATGTAAGGATTAACTCCTTACTCCGCGACCCTAGAGCAAACGCTCTAACCACTGCACCACGCGGGCGACTACGTGTACAAAGTAAAGTATGTGTATATAGTAAAGTAAATAAAAGAAAAATGACCTTGGACCCCCCCCCCCCCCCTCGAAAACACGGACTCCTGTGAAGTTGATGAGAAACTGAAAGTAAACATTGAACGCTGTTTTCTGATTGGGGTGTAACAACCCCCCCCCACCCCCCCCCCCCCCCCCCCCCCGAAAAATATCCCGGATCCGCGCTATCCACCGTCAGGCACTTGAAGCGTGGACAACGTACATCTATGCATCATCCCCCCTCCCTACCAAATATGTAATATATAAATTACGTGAGTGCATTTTCTGGAAAATGGGTGATTTCTCCATCATAGCAATCTTAATGTTATTCTGTGCAATCGGTTTGTGTTGTTTTCCAGTTTTACAATTTGGCCAATACGGGGGTTGGGGTGGTTGGGGGATGCAGAGTTGTGTGATATCATGGTTAATCACGCTTTTCAAGGGATTTAAACTGGTACATGTATCATATTTGCCGTTTTCCGTTCCGCGTTTTAGGAACACCCGCTTTAAACTGGAAAACCGCGCGTTTTTAAGAGGACCAGTTTAGATGATTGATAAAGAAGTTACCATTGCATAACATGAAACGACTAAAGCATATAAAAAATTGAGCACTTCATGTAACGAATTAACAATGACATGTAATTTTTAACCACCTCATATAAAGATGTTACCACTGCATAGCATGATTTTCAAATATATATGATAATTTCACTTTATAATATAATGATGTTAGTACTGCACATAATAAATTTTTCACTTCATGTAAAGGTGTCGCACTGAATGAAATGAACTTGGCACTGCACATGCATTGTGTTTCATATAATGTAATGATTGCACTTTCACACGAACTATGTTTATAAATGTATATATTGAACTTATCACATCATAGAAAGATTTCATTAATGTATATAATGGAATAACCACTGCATATAATGATTTTACAGCATAATGTAACGATATTATCACTTCATTACATTATTTAACCACTACATATAATGACGTTGTCACTGTATATAATGATAAAACCACTGCATAAAATAAAGTTATCACTGAATATAATGATTTTACCACTATATATAATGACTTCACCACTTCATATAAAGGTTATACCACCTCATATAATATGAAAGTGACCTTCAGGCAGCTATGGCGTTCCATACTTCGCCATAAGCTGCCATATGGGGGCATCAGTGTTTCACAAACACATCTTGTTTGGGAATGTTACAGGAAACGGACATAATTTTTTTTATATCAAAATTTGGACAGCCCGTGCAGTCACAAATTAAAGAGAAGTTGAGTAAAAACGAAAGGAGGTCTCAGCATATAATTGCCTATCCATTTTTTAATTGTGTATATTAAATTTTCATTATTTTTTTTTTATGAATAATTATGAATAACATTTTTTCAAACTATAAAAATATAATCAATTAGAATAAACCAAGGTATTAAAGTATTTTTGATGTGATTTGACATTTGATACCACTATGTACATAAGTACATGCTTTGGAAGGGTATTTTGAGAAGTGATTCACTTATCCGGACGATTTCATTCGGGATAGAGGCATCCGGATTAATGAGGTGCCACTGTTTAAGGTTTGAAATTTGTTAACTTATAATGTATGGTGTCATACTGAAACATTTTAAACAATACCAGATCTCATCAGTGACAGCCTTTATATACAAAACATATAGATTGAAATGAAAGTAGATTATCAAATAACTATCTTGTTTGAATTCTTACAGTTTAGAAAATCCTGCTACAGTACAAAGAGTCAGAATGAGTTGCTACCAGAAGTTCTACACGAACCAGATACATTCCAGTTCCTTACTATGTCAGCTAGCCACAATGTGGAAGAGCCAGGTTCTCTGTGATGCCGTGATCAGAACAGGCCCAGTCATTACGAAGGTAATAAGAACTGTATTCGTCAGGTGCCATAATTTGTAGTTAAGTGAAATATGTGCTGTTCATGGTATGTTATTTCATTATCACTGCCAATGTATGATTTCACATAGATGTGATGAATGTAAAGACAGAGAACACTAATAATGATTCCACTAATAAGCATTGCTTAGTTTAGGCAGCAATAATTCACCAATACTCTGAGGGTGCTTGATAATAGATATGATGCCTGCTGAATTTGGTTTTAATTCCAAGAATTTTGAATAAGCAATTCTATTCAATTTGTAGGCACACAGAGTTGTTCTAGTTGCTGCTTGCCCAATGCTGCAGTCAATGGACAATGCCTCAATGGGTTCACACCTGGAAGTTCGCCTTGCAGCTGACATAAAACAAGATTCCATTAACACATTTCTACAATATTTGTATGAGGGATTCATGATGCTGACAGAAGAAAATTGCAGAGATGTGGAAAAAATTGCTCGCCTGTTGCAGGTGGACAGTGTTATTAAGTGTTGTGCTGACTTTCTAAAGTGTCTGAATGGTGCAACAGGTGCCCCCATGCCAATGGATAGCCAGTATAAGTACACGTCCTATGATATGCTTGAATTCCGTCATGTTAGGTCATCAGGTTTGCAAAAAAGTGTGAACATGAAGAGAATGTCAAATTTCCCCCGTCCCGTAAGTCCAGGCAGCAAGAGACAAAGAATGGGTAGACCCTCTAGTCCACTTGTTGATTCACATTCCTCTAGTCACAGAGCAGATGACACATTATCCATGGCACATAGTTATCGTTCAAGCCAGCCAGATCCATGGGACAGAGTTCCTCAACTAGGTGCAGGCACAAGGCTTCCTACACAACCAGGAGTCATTGATATTGTGGAAGACTGCCTAGAAATAATTCAGACTGAAGAGCCAGAGAAAGACGCTAGAGGCAACGTTAAACCAGATTCAAGACCAAAGCAAAAATCTGTCTCCATTGGGGTGTCTAGCCAAATGAATACTGCCACAGATGTTCATGTGGTGAATATATCTGATCCAGGTGGTACTGCAGGGCCACCAAAACAGACTACCACAAATGGTTCTCGTGGCTCCATTACAGTCAACCCTCTCACCATGTTCAACGATCCTACTTCTTCTTCACAAGGATTACAGAGGTCAGATACTTCTAATGATGTCCAGTTTTCACCAAGGTCAGTTGAATCAGAAGCAGCGAGGAAAGAAAACTTCCCTCATGCCATGACACCACCTCAACAGCCTGTTTTTCCAACTATGACACCCATCTCCAGAGCAACAAATAAACCATTTGCTGCAGGAAGTGCCACACAGGTCCACCCCTCAGAAAGTGGAGGGAAAACCCAGGCTGAAAGTGAAGAAGGAGACCAAGCACAAGATCAGGTGTAAGTGTAAATTATCAGCAGGAAAAGTGCAAAAGGGAACTTCATGATATAAGAATGTAATATTTGAATTTATTATTTCTCCAAAGTGAGGAAACATATTCAATTCCAATTGATTATCTGTTTGTCTCTTTTTTCAAATTATCCTGTCCAAGAAATCTCAAACTCTTCATTATATATATCATGATCCCAAATTAAGGTCACACTTCAAGGGTCAAAGTCGGTGAGAAATGAATAGTAAGTTTGGGCAGTAAATCTCAGATCATTGATTAGAATAGTATTAAATATCTTGCTGCCAATGAACTAGAGGTATATGAAGTGGATTCAGAGTTGTATCTTTAGGTCAAGGTCAGTGGGCATAGAGATAGTTTTATCGTGTCCAGGACTGGCCATATCATTGGAACCGTTGATTGAAATTTAAAGTTGAGTTTGTTAAAATTGGTTGTAGTTTTTAATTATCTGTATTTGCTTTAAATTGTAGAAACAGGGTAGAATCTCAGGAACTTTCTCCAAGTTCTTCTTCTGATAAAGCTCCGGATATTAGTATAGTGAAAGTGGAAGCTGCGGATGCACATACTGGCGGATTAGACATGTATGTGGACATACCTGAGGATGGAATAATGAGAATGAAAAGTGGAATAGAAGAAAGCATTGAAAATGAAGAGGAGAGTGACCCAGAACATGACCAATCCCAGGATGCTCTGAGAGATGACATGTCAAATGAGGCTAGCAATGTCAGTGGAGATCAGAACAACTCTTGGTACATCGGCCAATTTAAGGGTTAGTACACATTGTTTATTTATAGAACAGTAGTGTTCACAGAAAATAAATCCAAGGTTATAGATGTGGCTATTTTGAGCACTCTAAGTATAAATTTGTAAATATTTCTTTGCAATCTGAATATTTTTTGTATTGTGCAAATGAATAATTTTTTAACAAAAAATTCTTTTTAAGAAGTTGTTTATTTTTTTTGAAGAGCCTCAGAAATAGCAGTGCACATCTTTTCAGCTTGTACTACATGGAAGTTTTTAAAATTAAAATTGAAAGAAATATTTCTAAGTTATCAAAAAGAAAATCCATTAAAATGTACTTTCACAGCACATCATTTGGCACTTCTTAAGGAAGAGACATAACAAGGTGGCTAAATTTATTATTTATATTGTATATAAATATTTGTGCCAAACTAAACATGCATGGTTCAAAGCTAAGAAATATTTTTCTTCCCATCAACATGTGGAGAACTGTACTCACTAAGGATGCATGAATTAAACTTGGAAAAAAGTATTTTTAACTCGAAAGATACATCTGTGTATACATGAATTTCCTTTGCACACATTGATGCTGTGGTTCGATTCCTGTTTTAATTTCTTTGAAAAACGTCAATATGAAAAAAGTTTACATATTTTTATAAAATTATTTCCCCTTTCAATTTTTTTTATAATCATTCAAAAATAAAACTGATGAGTAGTAAATTCTGCTTAAGTTTGAAGCCTTTCTATGACTGTTTTGCCCAAGTTCATCTTGGTTGGTCTTTAATGGACAGTACCGTAAACAAAGCCAAAAGCAGAATTGAATCAAAATTTGAGTTTAAGGGCTAAAGTGGCAAGAAAACAAGTGGTCATTGTGTCACAGGTAAGGAAACTAGATATTAAAAACAACCTTGGATTTATTTGTAGTAGAGTTGAGCTTTTGACTAATTCCTCAGACACTTGTGTTTAGAGCACTTCCATTGAAGTATTTGTAAGATCTCCTTATAAAGAGGTAAAGATTTCAAATTAAGTTGTATTTTTTATGTTGATAAAACATGCATGGAATGTCAAAATCATAACTTCAGCATAAACATTACAATGCCTATAAAATAAGTTGTTGATAATTTGAAAACTTGAAATTTGAATTTATAGAAATTTCAGGACCTAGGTTCTTGAATTTATTTTAACGTAAAATGAGGATATCTTACAAATAATGTGTTATAGTTCTTTGTTTCTTTGTGTTGTGACATCTTTCCTACTAGTCCCTGTGATGGGTAATCAATCTTAGTCAGCTCAATGCTTTTAGGCTAAAAAAAATTAAGATCCTCCTCAAAGGGTCTTCCCTGTTTTCTTGGATATGCATCTATTTGTACAGTTTCAGTCCAAGAAATGCTGCTTGTAAAATTGAAGTGAAATTGTAAAAGTGAATTTGAAGGAATTGTAATGAAACATAGAAAAAGTTTGATTGTAGCTTGAGGAAGACATTTCAAAAGTTTGCTTTAAGTTGTCTATCTTCTTAGGGTTTGGATGGAATTTTTGAAGCACAGAGAGCTTTTGATTTGCTTTGATAAATAAATAATGGTTCTCTTATAGTACTGTCAGTCTGGAATATCTGCTTGATAATGTAATTGTTTGGTAGTAATTTCCTTTTCAGCAGTTATGAGTCTACCGTCTTTCCAGTAACCCATTTTAATACTGAATAATAATTATCTGGTTCTTGTAAATTGCAGAAAGAAGTTAATTGTAAATGAAAAAAAAATTAAAGGTGGTCAATTTTCTGAAGCCTACTTTTCTGTATCTTTCAGGACAGGATAGTAGACCAAAGAAAATGGACCAAATGGAATTGGTAGCACAGCACCAATTCCATTCAAATGTTAAAACTCAGATTCCTGGAAATATCTCTGGTCATTCTCTACAAACTTCCTACCAATCTGTGGATAGAACAAACTATGACACTCTATCCTCTAATCCTCTTTCCATCCCCACACAATGCCGATACAGTGATAACAATCCTGTTTCCAATACAGATGCTAAATCTGCTCAGTGTTTTAATATTCCAAATCCATCGGATAACATCCACAAACTAGTTCGGCTTGGTGGAAAACAAAGACCTTGTGTTCTTTGCAAACGCTACTGCAAGAAAACACCATGTGGGGACAATATCAGAACTTACTACAAATGTGAAAAATGCGATGTCCCATTATGTAAAGGACCCATAAGAACATGCTACAAGGATTTCCATGAAAACTTTGGACAAAGAACTGAATATGTTGTGTTGGAAAACACAATGCAGTAGTGATGTCATTCTATCTGTTTCTCATATTAAGAAGTATGAAAATGGATATAACTTTTCTTCAAATTGACAAGAGCATGATCTGTTGCTACTGAAGCAGTCACTTAAAGGAAAAATGTTGGCATGCATGAATTTAAACTCTTGGTTGAGATTTACTTTTTAAGCAGCTGAAGTTTTGTTCTTGTATAAGATGAGTAAGCATGCTTTAATTTTCCATTCAAAAAATGTTTCCTGATGAGTGACTGAAAGCTTTTTCTTCTCTCTCCAGATGACAAACCAAACCACGAGTTAGGCTTTCAGTGCAACCACGAGTTAGGCTTTCAGTGCACCGTTTGTGGAAACTATTATAAACTCTTCTCCTCCCTCAAGAGACATATGAAGAAACATGCTGGTGAACCCCAACATGTGTGCCCTGTGTGTTATAAAACATTTTATAATAAGTGGGAAATGACTCGTCACTGCAATAGAACTCATTACCACCAAGATGTTTGAACACAACATAGATTTGGGGGCATATATATTCCTCCCTTATGTGAAGTCTAGTTTCAAGTCGTGTTTTTTTCTGTGTTGTGGAGATTAAATGTTCTTTTGTTTTTGTTTTTTTTAATATTACCTATAATTTTTGTTGCTCATTTTGGTGTCTTTTATGAATATGTACTTTAATTCCAAATAAATTAAAATGAAATTGACAAGTATTTGGTGTTAGTGAAGTTGCTGGATAAGGGGATTTTTCTGACATATAGGATCAACACTTTTCCTTTTCTCTTTCGCAGAGGATTACAAGTGCACAGTGTGTGGGAAGTCGTATCAGCTTAGATCATCCCTCACAAGACACTTAAAGACTCATAATCCTGTCCCAGATTTTGTGTGTCATATCTGTAAAAAAGGATATTACAATAAATGGGAGCTGGCTAGACATTTTCGACAAAGCCATGTTTAATACGCATTCTATCGTTCTAGTCTGTAGTATGTAATGGTAGATGTTTTCAATCTCTGGAAATGATATATATGAAGTTTTGCATCTGTTTTGAAGTTGAAAGTGATGTGGAACTTACTGTCCTAAACATTGGCATTTTATATCATGAAGTTACTCTTGAACAGTGTCTAGTCAATTATTTTTTTAAAAATAAAATGTTAACATCAGTATTTTCTGAATGTTCTTTGTGTTGATTGTGGTAATTTTGGAGTGAGATGTTAAATAAACTGCATGGGAATAGACAGGAAGGGAAGCTTGAGTAACATGGGTGTCTTTCTCTTTCAGCACTCCCCTTCTGTGCCAGGAGTGATAATGTGAAAACCCTTACAGCTTTGGACAGCCTAGGTGTCCCCAACTCTGCTGAACATTATCTTGTTAAGACAGAGAAGAATAGCAAAAAATTGTGTGAATTCTGCAAGCAGAATAGGAACAAATCCAAAGGGGGTTGGTGGGTCTATACTCGTTACATGTGTAAGGATTGTAAAGTTCCTTTGTGCAATGGAAAATCATGCTTGTTTTTCTTCCATAGAGATATTTTGTTAAAAATCTTACAGTCATTTCCCAGTGTTTCACAAGGAGAGTTCCTGGAACTGTGGAATGAAGCAATACTGAAAGCACAGAACAGTGGGAAAAGTAGAAGTGCAGTTTCTTGCTTGGATACTAACCCATCCTTCCTTCGCATATCATCATCTCAAATCTCAACTGATTTTACTGTTGAACAGTTAACTCGATCAAACAGAGAATCACCACATGGTTTGCAAGTTCCCTTGAATCGACAGTCTTACCAAAATATGGCACATGTATTCATTGAAGATTGTGAAAGTGACAGTGACACATATTCTGAGTTTAAGTTGTCGAAAGACATGTAAAGCCCTTCTAGTGCACTTTCATGTTATTAGGTAAAAATATTTGAAACTTTATCCAAACTTGAGATCAAGGATTATTAACATTGTATGTTTAATTCTGTGTAGTATTGGGTGTGGGTTCCATAACTTAGTAGTTGTCTTAGTGGGTTACTTCTGAGATTCATGTAAGAATTCTGTCTGTTAGATTCTTTCATCAGTTATTTCTACATTCTATCATCTTCCTTTCTCCTTGCAGGACCCTCCAGACATACCCATCACACATCCTTCAAACTAGAAGAAAACTCAGAATCGGCATCCACCAATACTGCTGTACATCGCATTGTTAGGAACATTGAAAATAAACCCAGAATATGTGTTCTATGCAAGTTAAATAGTATAAGGACTGTTAAGGGCTGGAAAGTTTACTCTCGATTTCACTGTGAAAAATGTGAAGTTCCACTCTGTACTGGGGAGCGAGATTGTTTTGAACAATATCATCGTTATCTTGATTTAGACCCAGGCTTCTTGAATATGTTAAAATCAACTTCTAGAAGTGCTTCTCGTCAAAAGTCGAGAAGTTCAAAACCAGATACTGATTCCAGTAGTGCAACCAATGATCAAGAACGAATTGTAGACCAACCAGTATTCCCATATCAGCAAATGTCATACTATTGCAGTTCTGATACAGATATTAACTGAGTTGACCTAGAATAGAGAATCACAATCATTTACCAGACATTAGTTATCTTTTGAATAACTGAAGTTCTTTCTGCAAGGGAATGAATATTTTTTCACTAGCACTTAATTCTTATATATTGGTTGATAAATTTGATCAATATGCATGTTTCAAAAAGGTTAAACAACTTTAAGAATTGCAGAAAGCATGCTATGTACGGTATGTTGTACGTTTTTAATAT